ATATATACATATATAAAGTCTGAATTTCTTAGTGTGAGGAAATCTTGTGGAATACTTTAAATAATAATTGCTGCAATTTTGAAAGGAAAAAGTTACTCATAAATACCATCTTTACTTCCATGTGTACCTATTTTTATTTAGTCTAATGCCAGTCATATTACTATGGCAGAAGTAAGTTGTTGGGTTTTCTTTGTTGATCTCCCCACCTAAAAGAAGTCATTATCTTAACTGAAGAGCTTATATATATGGTTCAGCATTAAGCTGTAAGCTTTTATTTCCCACAACTTTTTTCTGGTTTGTACTAAATGAATTTTAAAGCAAGCATTTAAATGAGAAGACAACAGAGTTTGGCTAAAGTAGAATTAAAGTCTAACATTAGCAGAATAAATAGTATAAAGCCTGAAGTGTGTGAAGGGGTGCATAGAGGGACCTTTTGGCTAGCAAACTCTTTGGTATCTGTGACAGATTTTTTGGGGATTAAAAATGAAGTGGGTTTTCCTTGTTCATTTGTTTTCCTTTAGCATGTCTCTACGATTTAGAATGGGAAAACTTGACTTAAGAAAAAAATAGCAAAGCAAATTAATTTGGAGAGTTGCATTTTTAAAATTATTTTTTTTTTAAATATGTGAGCTTTTATTTCCTTCATTTATGCTGTATATCATAACTAAACCTGGGTAAGGAGAAGTTAGTGCCACTATTTGACCTGGAAAACAATTGGATAGGAGGAACAAGAACCTTCATAGTAGCATGGAAAAGAAGTCTTGTCCCTAATATGGAGGCAGTATAGTGCTTGTCCTGTTCCTTCTATCATTAAAGAACTCTTTATAATAGAAAAACACAGGACAAGAATTGTGCTGTAAAGTTTTGTGGGTTTGGTGTTTCCGTGTGTATGTCCCCCAAAATAATGAAGTCTCAAAATAAGTGCTGACAACTTAAAAAAAATATATTTACACTACAGAGTAAAAATGCAAAAATGGACTTCAGCTTTGCTGGAACTATGTGTTGAAAAATGGTCCCTTTAATTAAACATATGACCTGCCTCACAACATGTCTTGTCAGTGACATAAGCTTAATGACCAAAAGATTACTATTTTTTTTGCCATTATTACTGGTTTAAGTGCTATTTGTGGAGAAAATGTGATGGTAAAAGCTAGTTGCTTCAGGCAAACAAAGAACTCTAGCATCACCAATTGCAGTTAATTGCAAGTTTTACTGCAGAAGGATTGAATTCTATGGTTCATAACAACCTGGCTTCAACTGTTTAGCTTACGTATTTTGAAGTTATCACATTCCATATTCCCTGCTTGCTTGTGAAGAATTATTATGTTGTTTTGTATAACATTTTGAAAGCTTAAAAAAGCAAGACCTGGAAATATAATTGAAAAGTTATGAGGGTTAGGTTATGAAATCATGGAACCTTCTACTTTACATTCTGTCATGCAGGATATGGGAATTACCCAGTGGCAATTGTTCTGCTGTGTTGAAACTCACATTTGTACAATGCTGATCCATGGGAGTTGTGACAGTGAACAAGTTCTGCTAAAACTTATTTACAAAGGTGCCACGTGAATGAATACAACTGCTGCCAGCCCCACCTCAAAGTAAAAGGGAGAGGCTGATGGACAAAGCACTTCATTCTGTATCAGCATGAAGATGTTTGCAAGCAGGAAAGGAGCTGAGTATTGTCGGAAATAAGACATATTCTGCTTTCAAAGCACAGAGTAGCTTTGCTCAGCTGACTGAGTTTGTTTTGGTGGTATAACAAATCCATCTTTCAAATATGTACCACTAGACCTCTGCAGCTACAGAAAGCAAAGGGCTAATCGGGTGCAGCCTCCAAAACTATACTACCACTTAAAAAACCCAACCCAACCCAACCAACCAACAAACAAACAAAACCCAAACAAAAAACCCAAACAAACAGAAAACACCAACAACCAGCAAGCAAAGAAATAGATTTGAACTGGTAATAATTTTCTGTTAACCACAGGAGCATAGTCAATATCAAGTCTAGCACAAGGTTGGTCCAGATGAAATATGTACTCCTGAATGTTCTTACGTGGCACAACACTGGTATTGTTGCTCAGGATCAGAGTCAGAATATGAAATATGAGTACCACGGTCCTATTAAATAAATGAATACATACATACATAAATAGAGGAAAAAGAACAGGTGGCTTCTTTGGAGGACCAAGCAAGAAAAGAAAAGATGGCTGTGAATGAGGATGGAACATCCAGCTCCCACTTGGTGCCATTAACAGCCTCACAAGTTAGACACCACTTTGTATTTTGAATGAAGAGAAAAAGAGCTAGGAAGTGGACCACAAGAAGGCACAGTGTTATTCTGGCTTGGTAAATCTTAGTTACATTGTCAAACTCTATTGCTCATCACAGATTGAAGCTTATGGAAGGTGGACTCTGACTGTGGGCACTTTGCAAGTTTCACCCAAAAGCAAAAACACTTGAGATAAAAAAAGATGTGGAGTAGCAGTTGTAGCTTGCAAAGAACAACGCTCAGCACACTGTGTGTGGCTTGGCACAACACAAGCCCAGACAAATTCTAGAGTTTGCAGTGATACGCAAGAATTGCAATAAATTGCATCACTTTCATAAAAGTTTGCCAGCACCTAGCTTTCATGGCACATGCAGTAGGGTGGTATAGCAGCATTAGTGCAGAAGAATAATTTTGAGATGAGACAGGCAATGTTACACCAGAAGATAGTCTTTTTCTCAAACAGTGTGTGTTTGGTGAAGGAAAAATTACTATTTGGATATAAAGTAACAGCTTTCAACAAAACTCAAAGGTGTGCTAAAATGTGGGGGGGTTTTCTGGTTTCGCTTTTTTTCGTGGGTTTTGTGTTTTGTTTTGGGGGTTAAGTTTGTTTATTTATTTGGGTTTTTATTTGTTTTTCTAGTTCTCGCCTGTAGGTATGATTTAAGGTAATTCCTAGAAGAGGAGCTACAAAGACTTATTACTCTGATTCTCAGAGGGAATGCGATTTGGTGGTGGTTAACGCCATAAGACATGGCACTTGTTTTCTCATGGATCCTTTTGATCACTGCTGTATTACTATTTTCTGTTTCTTTTCTTTTTTTCCTCACCCACTAGAGTATAGGAATTATAATTGAAAGCTTTTTATGTAGTTGGTGCTTTAAATATTTCTTGGATGGTCTCTAGTGCCTTTAACTGCATCAGAAAGTAGCTTTTTCTTCAGTAGTGGCACTACTCTGGCTGTCTTTCTGCTACCTGGACAGCTACCTTTTTGAAAACCTGTAAGAATTCACTGATTTTAAAATTCCTAGTTTTCTGTAAAAGAAGTATTTGAAATTCAGCTTGAAAGATTAAGTGTCAGTGGGTGATACACAAGCTTAAGAAAGACCACAGTTGAACAGTTCTCTTATATTTGCTGTTATTTGCTTTCAGGTATATGGTGTAATTCTGTTGTCGTGGTTGTCCTGTGCAGGCCAGAAGAACTGATGATCCTGGTGGGTCCCACCCATCTCAGGTATTCTGTGATTATATTCTGTGACTCTATGGTTGTGCAGAAATTGTTTGAAAAAATATTTATCTATAATTAGGAGAATTCCAGGCTTTATTTAGGCCCTTTTTTGGAGGGTAGAATTAAAAAGAAGAAAATATGACAGCGTGATCATCCTTTGGATGACAGTTTTCTGCAGTCTGCAATCCAAATCACATTTGGCATGAAGACTTTTTAAATTATTTTTTATTATTATTTATTATGTGTATTCTGGCCTGGCCACTTGAAGTTTTCAGCTGTGTAAAGCACTAGAAAGTGTGGCAAAACTGCAGGGCTACAATTCCAACAGATAAAAAGCAATAATGTAAGAAACCCGAAGAAAGTGCCTACTGCCATGCCTTCCTTGTGCTCTAAAAGCAGGTAAGTTGTCCTGGAGACAGTGAAGGCAACTTAAGGAAAATGTCACTCAATTTAGTGAACTCTGCCTTAAGTAAGAGGGGATATTGCTCCTGAAACACATCCTGCCTAGGTAGCATTACATAGCACAGACACAAGGTGTGGGGCATTGGTGCATAAGGGCTCAGCTGCTGCAGTTGGTCACACCAGGCTTCTCGCACCCAAGCCACGCCGCTGATGCTCCAATGCGAAGCTATAGGGTGATGGAATGCGGCTGCAAAGGCTGTCCTTGCTAACGCCGTCCCAACACAGCCAGACACCCCAATAAAATATGATCATAGAATCACAGAATCATAGAATCGATTGGGTTGGAAAAGACCTCCGAGATCATCGAGTCCAACCCTTGGTCCAAATCCAGTCTATTTACTAGATCATGGCACTCAGTGCCATGTCCAATCTGTGTTTAAAAATCTCCAGGGATGGTGAATCCACCACCTCTCTGGGCAGCCCATTCCAATGCCTGATTACTCTCTCTGTAAAGAATGATGCACAGACACTCCCTCCAACTCCCAGAAAGAAGGTTGTAGCTATCTGGGGGTCGGCCTCTTCTCCCAGGCAACTAGCGACAGGACGACAGTGTTAAGTTGTGCCAGGGTTGGATGTTAGGAAGATGTTTAGGTTCGATGTTAGGAAGAAATTCTTCACAGAAGGGGTGATTAGATATTGGAATGGACAGCTCAGGTTGGTGATGGAGTCATCGTCCATGTACACGCGCCGGGAGAGACTGGACGTGGCACTGAGTGCCATGGTCTAGTTTACGTGGTGGTGTTCGATCGTAGGTTGGACTCGATGATCGTTTCCAACCCAATGGATTCTGTGACACGCACTCGCAACAGGGCCCTGCAGGGCCCTGCAGCCCCGACCCCGCGCGGCCGTGACACCGGGGGACCCCGCGGGCCCCGGGAGCAGCCCAGCACCTCCGGGCCAGAACAGACAGCGCTCCCACTATCCCGGCTTTCCCGGGGGCCGCGCGGGCGGGGCGGGGCGGCGCATGCGCCGTCAGCCTTGCTGCGCGCGGGTGGGAGGCGGTGCCGGGGCGGCCGTGCGCGGAGAGGGCGGCGGCAGCGCTGAGCACAAACTCCGGAGGGAAAGCGGCGCTGCTGGTCTCCGCCCCCCGCCTTCCACACACACCCCATAGCGGGAAGGGGGAAGCGAGCGGCCCGCTCCCCCCAGCCCCCCCCACCCCGGTCCCGGCGGTGCACGGTCCTGCCCGGGGGCTCGGCGGCGGCGGGCGGTGCGCCCGTGGCGGAAGGCGAGCGGCGGGCAGCTGGGGCCTGGAGCCGTCGCTGCAGGAGGGGAAGAGCGGGGTGTTCCCGCGGCGCGGGTGGATGCGCAGCCCGGAGGGCGGCTCCTGCGGCGGCTCCTGCGGCCTCCCCATGGCTGTGCCCCGACGGTGAAGGCAGCGGGAGCCGCCTGTGTCCGCGCCGCGCCAGGAGGCGGCGCCGCCGCAAGCAGGGGGCGGGCGGGGAGGGGGATGAGCAGCGCCGCAGCCGCCGCCGCCTCTGCGGGAGCTGCCGCCGCCTGCGCCGGGGCCGAGCGGGGCTTCTCCTCCTCCTCCGGCGGCGCCGCTCCGGCCATGGGGCCCATGGGGCCCGAGGAGGGCTCGGCCGGCGGGCTGGGAGCCCTGCCCGCGCCGCCGCTGGGCTGCAGGAGCCGCTACCAGCTGCTGCTCTCCGGGAAGGCCCTGGCCGACAGATACCGGCGGATTTACACGGCGGCGCTGAGCGACAGGGAGCTGGGGAGCCACCCGGGCAGGTAACGCGCGCCGCGCTCCCCCCTGGCCCAGACGCGCAGCCCCGGCCGCCACCCCTCCCACCGCCGGCTGGGAGCGGCCCGGTGCGCGCACCTTCCTCCCAGCCGGCAGCCGCCCTCCTCAGCCTCCTCCCCGCCCCCGAGTCGGGCAGCGCGGGTGCTGCCGCTGCCATGTGGCCGCGGCCGCCGCGCCCCGGGGGACGGACGGAGGGGAAGGGGCGGTGATGTAACCCGGCGGCTGCCCAGGTGCCGCCCGGGCCCCGCCGCTCAGTTGGCCGGCGCTGCCGCGCAGATGGCGCTGCCGCCCCTTCTCCCGGGGCCCTCGGGGGGGGAATTACCTGTGCCCGCTGCCCTCCCCTCCCGCGGGGGCCGTGGCCTCCGTCCCGCCCCAGTGTGCGGCCCAGCTCCATCCGCCAAGGGGGATGGAGCGTGTGATGGAGCGTGTCCATGCAGAGATCCCGGGCGGACCTTGCTCCGGCCAGGCCTGTTGTGCCCCGGAACGGGCGGTCTCTCCAGACAGGCTGCGCAGGGCACCTGCGGATCCCGCTGCCGGGGTCGCCCGAGCGAGGGCCCTCGGCACCTCCCCATGTGCTGTGGCCGTCTCTAGCTGCCCTGCCTTATTTTTTCTCCTCCTCTTTCGGTCATCTTCTCTGCCATCGCCGTGTAGGCGGCCTCCGTATCAGGAGGGAGGCAGCACCTTCCCGGGGGAGCCGGGAGGTTGGGGGATATGGTGCTGCCCCACCCAGCCCTTCCCCGGCGGATGGAGCCCCACGGGGCGCCCTTTCCCGGTGCTGCCGGCCGGCCCTGGGGCCGCAGCGGGTTCCTGTTGCTCCTCTGGCCGGGAATGCCGCGCCGCCCTGCCCTGCCTTGCCCCGAGGCGCGCACATGCCCGAATGTCAGGCGGGGCGGAGGTGCGGGTTGTGGCAGTGCGGGGCCGCGGGGGACAGAGGGGGAGAGGCGGCCGCCCTTAACCCGCAGCCTCCACCCCGGCCCGAGGGGACCCTCCCGGCCGCGGAGGCCAGGGCGGGGAGACCGGCCGGTGCCCGGTCTGGCGGTTCTGTGCGAGGAGCTCCGTCGTTGTGCCCGGGCGCTGCCCATTGTTCCCCTCCGGAGGTCGCTGAGGATGCGGGTGACACGAAACCGGCACCTTCCTGTGCTCTCAGCCCCTGCTGGCCCATAAGCTGTAATGTGGGTGGCCGGATCGCAAGGGGAGCTTGGAGTCACCGTTGTTTCAGTTTGCAAAGCAGGAGGAGGTTGGCTTGGGTGGCTTCTTCGGGTCTTCTTTTTTTTCCCCTGACTTGACAGCAGGGCTTATTTGTCTTCCCACCCCCACCTCTCGGAAAGGCTGTGTCTGGGAGTGAAATTAACATAAGAAACTGGAAGAATAACGTAATTTTCCCGATTTGTTTATGGCAAATGCTGGAAACGTGGGGTGTTATTGGTATTTGAAATATTTACAATTACCGAGTTGTTTTCAGAGTGTATGACAAGGAAACTATAGTTCTTTCTTCCCTTTTGTAGGCCTGTGTTTTCTTACCTCATGTATTCCTCAGTCTGGTGCTAATGCTTTTTCCTTTAATCTTTTCTTCCTGCTTTTGAGCTTTGTATCATTTAAACCTGGGACTACAAGTCCCAAGTGTAAGGATACTCCTAAATGCAAGGAAATCAGCTTTGCAGTTGCTCCACAGTGTTCAGATACTTGTCTGAATTTTGCCTTAAGGGGTCTGTATTTTTTAAAGCTGTAGTTTTGAATTTGTCATGTGCCCTGTTTTTTTTGTTTCAGGATAATTCAACTGGTATCTCTTACAGTTGTAGAAAATGCTAGCTTTAAGTGTATGTAAATTTTAATGCTTCTCTTAATTGATGTTTTTGAGGTCAAAGCAAAGAAGCCAGGCTCCTTGTACAGAGCAGATAGGTTCTATTAAGCTATTGGCAAGTAAATGACAGATATTTAATACTGGTGAATACAGCCAATGTGCATTGTAGGACTTTCAAGAGGACGAATATTAATAATCATCTAGTTGCCCACTATCACTTGGTACTCACTTGCAATACCTCGTGTCAGACTGATGGCAGCCAAGGTACTGCTCGTGATCTCCACCCTTTCTCCATATTGGTGTGAAAATATTGCAGTTTGAGAACTTCAGTCACCTGGTAGACTTAAACAGAAATGGTCAAAAATGCTTTTTTACAAAAATAGTAAAAATCCCAAACATTTCCTAAAGAGATGCTTTAAAGTTATTTGTGGACGCAGTCTAGTTGCTAGGGTAGATAACGTTGCCAGATACATTAATTGGAGGTTAGGATAATACAGTTTATGACAGGAGTCTTAACTTGATTTTTATATATATGGAAAATCTGAAGCCCCTAATTGGTCAATAAGAGTGTTTGTGACTAGAAAAATATCTTGGAAGTAGCTTAAAAGAACCTCAAACAAATTGGCTTATGAACAGTAATAAAATGTCAAGAAGACTAATTTGAAGAGTGATAGTGCAACATATTTGCTATAGTTGATGCAGAATTTTTTTGCTTCAAGTCTGCAAAATTGTACTCTACACTTCATGGGCCATGACCAGTGCTTGCCCCAGTGAATGTTTTTATTTCAAGCCTAACTTTAATGTTTATGAAGAACTTACAAGCAGTATGAAAATACTTCTGTGTAGACAAGGAAATCAAACATTATGGAGATTGTCTGAAAGTCACAAGTAAGATTAGTATCACATTTGGAAAGGTGTTTGTGCTGGCTGTTGCCTGAAAGGATGAATGTCACGTGTTGAGTAGGATGCAGTAATTGGCTCTGAAAAAGAACTAGCAGTGCTTTGCATTTCCTCATGTGATACTGGCTCTGATGTTGTGAACACTGGTCTCTGAAGGAGACCGTTCTGTTGGTGTGCTTGTTGTTCCTGACACATTGACATAATATTTATATAGTCTCTTGCAGTAACAGATTAGAGACTCACTCTGGGTTAAAATTAACTTGGCAAAACTGGTTTGTTGTAATCCGGACTAATTCCCTGATCTGGCTCACCTTGTGATTGTGCTTGTGACAGCATGAGGTGAAGGGTTGCACAAAGATTTGTGTACTGAGAGGCGGGAGCAGAGAAACTTGTTTTTGTCACCAGTGCCAGCCTAATAATTTTTTGAAAGGAAACAGAAAAAGTACCAAATTCTGCAATTTACCATACAACTGTCTTTGCTCAGATAACAATGCTACGAATCTGTTAGGGTACTGAGCAGTGGGAAATAGACTTGTCAATTCAAGATTGGTTTGGAAGAAAAATCTGCTCTGTGCCTAGTTCATAGTCTCTGCTTTTTGGCCACTGAAATATCTGAAAATAACTGGTGGCGTAATGTCTGGTGTAGCTGTAAAAGTCTGTAAAAGACTAATAGGAAGTATAGGCCTCTTCAGAGGGCAAGTAAAAAATTCCTGTTGTTGGAATGTTGTCTCGTACACTGGGTTTTGAGTGGACAAAACTAGAAGTCTGTACTGCTTTCCGTATCAAAGCTTTGTGTTTGAAAAGTAAGGTATTTCTGATTTTCACATTTTTGCTGTCTTTAAATATACAGTTTTTCTGTTGTATAACTTAATCCTAACAAACATCCCTATCCGTAATTGCTGCTATTATTGTGTGTGGGTCTTGGGGTTTTCCCTGAACTGTTAGTGCCTTTACTCTTCTTTTACCTGGTAGTATGTACCACCAGAAGTATGAGTTGGACTCCATATGTTCTTTGAGACTTTTTGTCAAATACAGATAAGTGTATAAATATGTAATGGCTTTAGTGTGTCCTGTTTTATAATGGAAATCCTCACTACATAATTTTGACTAGCTTGAAACTGGACTATTACAATGGCAATATAGTCTGAAGTGACAGTAAGTTCATACTCATGTCAAAGTGACCATTACTTTGTTGCTAAAGTTGCCTCTCTTAACTTAGATCCTTCAGAGGAGAAAATCTTCTATTTGTGTTATGGACCCTAATGTTGTGCAGTGGCCTGACTGAGATCAAAGAAAATTTCCATGATGACTGGAATGTCAGATTTCTGCTATTAAGCAGAAATTAGATGGCTGTTTTTCCCAGCCATTTTGGCTGAAGAAGAGCCAGCCAACTTTATTTCATTTTATATTGATTGTTTCAGCTGGATGATTGAAGAACACTTACAGTTGTAAATGATACATATTCTGGAAAAAAAGGATTGTTAGGTTAGTCTTTAAGCTTTTCACAATTGACACAATGTCTTCCCTTATACCCTTGCTTATGCTCAGTAATGTAATGCTTATTTGGACTAAGGATCTCATATATATACACACACATATATATATGTATATATACATATGTATACATACATATGTATGTATATGTATACACACTTGAAAGTTTATTGGAAAAATGCTACTGAAACATTTGCCCTACCAAGATTAAAGAATTTGTGAAAACTTTGTTTAGTAAATTTAGATGTATGAGATTTGTGTTCATTTGATTGTTGGCTAATTTGATTGTTGCAAAGCCTTTATTTCTTCAGATCTAAAGCCTTTACAAAAGCTGTTCGCCATTTTTGGTTTGGGACTTGTTGCTCTTTTAAAATAGAACTATAATTGCAGAAGTTTGGAAGCATTCATTTGACTGAAAAAAATAAAGGTTCTGTACATAAAGGTTCTGTACATAGTGAAGTGATAGCACTGTTTCTTGCAAAATACTGCACATTATGTACTACGTTTTCCTGTTCATTCCAGTGCAAAGGTTTGCTCTGTAGGACCTTTCCAACTGAAATATTCTAACCCAGTCCAGTTTAATATATTCTCCCTGTTTTTCAATTCTTAGATTTTGTAAATGTCATTTTACAAAAAAAAGGTTTTGAGTCCTTATGTAAACTAAAACCTCTATTTAACTGGAAAATTGACGTGCTGTTGAGTCTTACATTAGGCTAACCTGCCTGTTAGAAAAGCTGATGAGAGTTGCTGTCTGCTTTTTAGCTGCAGTATAGCAGTTTTAATACTGTATCA